GGCAAAGCCTCCCAGTGAGTGTGCCACGGTCATTTGATGACTTGGCAGGCTCTCCACAGCACAGAGGATGGGTGTACTCAGGTATAAAAGAGAAGCAAACATTGTCCTCGGGCATGTTGTTGGTAAGGAATAATGTTTTCCTACCATGCATGGAGACAGGCTGGTGCTCTCCTGGACTTCTCATTCCTCTGGGGAGTGAGATCTCATTTGAGTATAATCCTCTATTTCATTGTGCAAGGCGGAGCTCTCCTCTGTGTTCAGGCAATTGCGTGTGTGTTAGCAACTATGCTTTGTTCCATGACAGTTGGGGATATAGCTGTAGAGAATGCTGGGCCCTGGTGCAATTAGACCTGGGATCAGGGATGAAAACATGGAGTTATGGGACAAGCTAAGTCAGATACGGTACAGGAAAGCTGAGACTCAAAAACCCAAGAAAAATCATAATAAAACTGTATAGTAAGATCATATCAGCTGGGCATATGGTGCATATTTATAATCCTGGACTTCAGAGGAAGAGACAGACAAACCTTGAGCTTTATGTGGGCTTCATAGTAAGTCCTTGCCTCAAAAAAAAAAAAAAATCAAAGCCCCTAAACCAAACAAGCATAAAAAATAAAAAACAAAAACACCCAAACAACTAAATATATCTACAGTCACTCCATAGTTCCTAGGTTCCTAGCTGCTAACGACCTTGGCAATGGAGTACAAGCAGAATTCTGTTCTAACAATTGTTTTTTTGGCCCCAGTTTCTGACACAGAGCTCCTAGGACTTAAGGGTTTTTCCAGTGGCAGGGGTATCTAACATACAGTCCCTAAATCCTGGTGTTTTCTGCTTGATACGAACATCTTCTTTGGTTTTAAGAAACATACTCTTGGTGCATGTCTCTGGAACCTTACGCTGTCTAGTTGCCAGGGAAACCAACTGTGATTAGAAAGTTGGAATTTTTAGCTTCGTCTTCCAAACTAGAGGAGGGTGAGGGGTGAAGATTGAACTGATTACTAATGATGGGTAATACAATCCATCATACCTGTATAATTTAAGCTTCTATAAGACCCCGGAAGGTCATGTTCTGATGAACTGATGGAGGATAAACACACAGATTCCTAGAAGGTGAGGACCAGAGATAGTTATGGGAGTAGGTGATTATCGCTGGGTCCTAACGGCTCCCTAGAAGGAGGGAGTGAGACAGCGTGGTGTCAGTGGCATAGACACTGGGAGTAAAGAGAAGACTTGTTTATTCAGCAATGGGGAGAGCCTTGCACCCAGGCTGGGTTCCTAGCTTTTGGCATTGTGCGGTTGTCTCTCATTGGCTAGGCATGACCAGTACCTCTGACAGCACCTGTTGCTAGGCCCACAGGCAGATTCCAGGTTGACTCCACTCTTAGCCTTATTCCTACAGGTGATCTCTTCCCAAATGTTACCTGATGACATTTGTGTATCCATTTATAACATTTGCTATAATAACTGGGAAGCCTGATGAAGGGAATGGGAACCTCTGTTGTATAATCAGCTGACCAGAAACAGAATGGTGACAAAATCATTGCTTATGATTGATACCTTATCAGTATGGGCCCACAACTTTTGGGTTTGACTCCATCCCTGGGCATGAGATTAAATGATGGACACATGATTGGTTGGTGTATAGGCAGAAAGCCACACACATCTGCATGGCCAGATGTGAAATATTCTTGTGTCTAGTGATGGATACTGCGAACGCAGAAAGGGAGGACAGGTTTTATGTTTTAAATCTGAGATGTGAAGGCCCAAAGTGTGAATCAAAGGAACGGTGTGGTACAAGTTCTCAGATGGAAGATACTGGCAGAAACAACAGAGGATCAGGACTGAGCCACTGCTGAAGACCAAGGTCACGGCTCTAGAAACTCCCAAGAGCTCTTATCTGCCCTTCAGCTGTTCTCTTCTTTGTCGTGGTGTGTGTGTGTGTGTGTGTGTGTGTGTGTTGTGTATTCCCAAACCAGGACTTCTTTTTTCTGGATTCCACAAACACTTACTTTGCTGCAAACCGAACCCAGATTTGCTCTGACATTTTCACTTTTTCTCCCGGCCGTGTGATGAGCCTGGACATCGGAAAAGCAAAGCTGAGACTGTGGATGTGTGCATCCAGCTGGTAGCTGAATGGAAAGTCAAACTGTGATCAAAGGGATGCTTTCTGCAGTAGACGAAGCTCTAGGAAACCGGCAGAAGCAGCGGTCTGTGCCAGACAGACTACAAAGAGTCAAGACAGGTAGCAGGAGAGATTTGGAAGCCTGCATTCTGCTTTGCTGGGGGCTGTGTTTAGGGACAAAAATGTAATCAAAGGATTATGGTGTTAATCTGCTTGACTTCTCTTCTCCGGGCTGCAGCAAAGGGAGTTTGCTTCTGTTTGCATTAACTAGAAGGGATCCCCCGCTCGCCTTCACTGGCTTCTCCAAATTCTTTGCAGTAAGGTTCATTAAGCCCAGTACTTGGTAGAATGCTGTGGAGCTTGTACACCGGCAAACTTCAAAGATTTGTAGTGACAGATTGAGCTTCTGGGTTAAAACAGGGCAGAGCCCAAGGGGGAGAAGGAGAGAGTTCTAAGGAGAATTTCCAAGTGGGAAAGAAGATGATAGGAGAGTATACTGGAGGCACAGGCCCAGAGTATCAGTGATTTTGCTCTCTTTAGTTTTTTAAATCTGATCTCCTTCCTCTTCCTTGGTTTTGAAAACTATTTATAATTACGTTTTCTTTAAAAAATTGCATGATTGTGCAAAAAAGCTGTTATTCATGTGGGGCTCCGATCTTATCCTGTGGCACCGCCATTATTAAAAATTAAAAACGAAGGTATGAGGTCAGCAAGAACAAGTTGTGAAAAGACACATCTTGTCTTTCTGCGGCAGGATAGAAAGAAGAAGAGTAAGGGGCACAAGAATGCAGAGGGAGTCCCCGCTCTGGAATCTGGCTGAAGCCGGAAGAATCCTGGCACAGTCAACAACACTTTCTATGACGGTTGCCAGCACAGAGGCAGTCTTCTTTTTAAATGTTGCACAGCAGTGAGCCAAGCTTAAGGTCTAAGCCCATGCAATCTCAAGCAGGGCTTTTCTCTTTTTCAGATGCAAGCCTGTGATCTGAGACTCACAGATAGGCTATAACCGTGCTGAGAGTGAACGGCAGGTGCAATTCTCTGTGCAACCCTTGTGAATGATAATGCAACTTGATAATGCAACTCTCGGTGGTGCATTATCGGGTTTAATGCCATCCATGGGCCTCAGAAACCACCCTAGGCTCATTTCCCGGAGAAGATGGCTCCCTTAAAAACACTTTGAGGTGCAACTTCAAGGGCTCCCAGAATCATTCACGTGGCTCCGGTGCCAACACAAGCGTGACTCTCTCTTGAGAAGCGTCGTTGTGATGGTGATGTTGTTAATCGGACGCAAATCTAGAATCACCTGGGAGAGAGGCCTCTGAGCAAGATATATGTGCTAGCATCTTTTGATTACCTTGGTTAATGTGGGGTGGTTTGTTGATGTGGGTGGAGCCATTCCCTGACTGGGTCCTGGACTGTGTTAACGGTGAGGAGGACCTAGGCAGCAACCTTGTGTTCATTGCTCTGTCTTCTGACTGTAGGTTCGATGTGACCATCTGCTTTAGTCTCCTACTGACTCTCCTTCCCTGTCATGTCAGGCTGTGCCTTGGATTATGAACTAAGGAAACCTTTTAAGCTTCCTTATATTGCTTTCGTTAGAGTATTTTACTACAGAGACAGGCCAGGAAGCAGCTAAGGCCTGCACCATCCTTTCCTAAGCCCCTTCCCCCACACACACCCCGCAGCTCCCTTAACATCTGTATGAACATTGCACTAAAACTCCTTCTTTCTCTTTTGTCTCTGGTATGTGTGTGTGTGTGTGTGTGTGTGTGTGTGTGTGTGTGTGAGAGAGATCCTAGCACATCTGTGTGAACAGCTGTGGAGGCCCAAGTCTCATGCCAGGAGTCTTCTTCAGTTTCTTTCCACTTTACTTACCGAGGCAGGGTCCCTCAAGTGAATGAAGAGCTAGCCCATATGGATCATCTCCTCGCAGGCTTGCTCTGGGGCTCCCCTGCCTTTGCTCTCAGGGGCAGACTGGGATTATAGGTGAGCTGCCTCTCCCTCCTGGCGTTTACTTGAGTTTCGGGGATCTGAATGCTGGTCCTTATGCGTATGCTACAAGAGCTTTAACCCCTGGGCCGCTTCTCCATCTCCTAAAATCATCTTCCTCAGGAACTCAACTCTGCTTTGTGGCAGCTTTTCTGGAAATTCTTGTTGAGATGGCAGAGCACAGCTGGATCTACAGGATCCCAGATCCTGCTCTTGGGTTTGGTATTTTCTGTTGCTCAGGAAATGCTAAGTGGAGAACAACACTTAGGGAGCTTTTTCAATGTTGCTAGTTGATTTTTTGTTGTTGTTTTTGTTGCCTGACAAAATACCAAACAGAAAGCGCCTCAAGTGAGGAAATGACTTTCGGCTTAATTTCTGGGTACAGCCCCTCGTTTTGATTATCCACCTGAGTTCCCAGCCCGTGTGGTGATGACGCCTCGCACACGCAGGGTGGATCTTCCCACCTCAGGCAAACCTCTCTAGAAGCACCCATACGTGTGTTTCCTGGCGATTCTCACCTAGAATGCAGTTTCTTTTTGATCCAATGTGATTCAGCTGTTAAACGTTTGTGGCGTGAGTCAGCGTGTCACTGATGTTGAAAGCAGCAGTAGAACGATCCAGCTGGCCGTGGAGACCGATCATCCCAGCTGTGCACAGAGGAATCTGGCTGCTGTTGGAGCTTCTGGTCCATGGCTTGTCTCCTGGAGAAACTCACTCACCGCACTCTGCCATCCCGAGTTCAGTTCCACTTTGCGCACACTGGCGGAGTGCAAAGCTCATACCGCCAACTTCTATTTTCTGTCCAACTTTCTATTTCTGTGAATTTCATCCTGGATATTACAAAGTTCTGATGGGGAATGAGCTCCTTATCAAGGCTCTTAGGGAGATAAAGATGAAGTGAACTGAATTTCACTCACACAGAATTCCGTTTCTTTTTTAATTCATTATAGTGAAGCCGCAAAAATCTCTTTGCATTTGTGAATTGAATTCTCTTCTGTCACAAATGTTGAGCAACTGTCTCTTCTTTAGCGGGAAATTTAAACTGAAACAGATCTACGGGAAGAGGGAAAGCATGTTCTATTGAAACCAACTATGCTCTGGCGCATTCATTTTTATTGATGAGACTTTTCCATATATACAAGAAGTGCGCTATAGAATCACTTCCTCCGCTCTGATTGTTGGCTGTTATTTGATCAGTTTACTAAGGATGATGTCAGGACTGAAAGTCTAAGCAAGAGAGGAAAGTCATTATTCCTAAAATAAGTAAGTAGATAAATGTGTTAAAAAGATTCATGGATGGATGAATGAAGGAATGAATGAATGGAAGCATAGTGGGGATGGTTTCTTCGGGTCATTCCCACAGTGACCTAGTTATGATGTTGTGATTGAGGAACTATAGTTTCTTAGAAAATGGCTCATTGTACTTGAAGAATAAATGGATTCTTTCTTAAGCCTTAGCAAGACCACGCAGTGTCATCTCCTGGATCACCAGGTGGTTTGCGAACACTGTGTTGTTTATATTTCCATCTTGTCTGCCGCCTTCCACTCAAATCACAGTAAGGAGAACAGAAATCAGATTCTCGTATGCCGTAGTGTTCGCATGACCACCATGAAGTCATCTAAGTTTCCCACTCAGTTTCTCAGATATAAGACAGATGACATTGATCTCTTGTCAGGACAGTTTGGAAGATGGAGACTGACGACGGCTCCATTGTAGACAGCAGAGCTGCAGATGTAGGAAGAGCATTGGTGACTGTCACTTTCTTCTCTTTTGCTCCTCTGCCTTTTCTTTTCCCAGGCAAGGTCTCACATGTAGTCCTGGCTGGCCTGGAACTCAATACGTAAAGCAGGCTGGCCTAGGACTCAGAGATCTGCCTATCTCTGTCTCCTGTGCTATGATAAAGGGCGTGAGCTACCATGACTGGCTCATCAATTTCTTTATAAATACCATGCCATTGCAGCAGTGGCTGAGTGTGATGTTCACTAGTTATTTTTTTTAAAGATTTACTTTTATTATTTTTAAAGTGTGTGTGTGTGTGTGTATGTGTGTGCACGTGTACACGTGCTGCAGGTGGTAGATCTCTGTGTGCTGCCTGGAATGGGTGCTGGAAACCAAAACTCAACTCCTCTGCTAGAGAATCATGTGACTTTAACCTCTGAGTTGTGTCTCCCACAAGTTTTATTATCACAAATATTCAGGGATAGGAATACAGTAATACAGTGGACTGGGCCCTCCGACATCAATCATGAATTAAGAAAATGCTCTGCTGACATGCCAGTGTTAGGGACCATTCCTCAGCTGAGCTTCCTTTTTCCCACATGTCAGCTGTCACCCATGATTATCCCTCATGGTGACATAGAGGACCACCCATCACCTGATATGAGAAGTTCACTGTCTATGTTGAGCTTCTCATGCATATACATGCTGGGGCTATTCAGGGCTATTCCTCTGCTCAACTGTGGGTTACAATCAGAGTAAGATGCCCAGAGGTTCCATCTAGTGAAGCCAAAACAATAAATACCAATTCGTATGGAAACCTTCATTAAATTAATGGAACGGAGGAATCCTCTGCTCCCTCCAATGGAGACGCTGTAGAGACCACAATGGAACTACCATTTCTTGCCCCAGCAGAAACCACCAAGCACAGACTTCACCCTGGACTTGGTGAAGCCCAAGTTTTATATAGCACAGCTTTTAGTACCAGCGAAGAAAGCCTTCTGCAGCAGCCCAACAGGAGGGGAGTGATGGCTGGCTTTCAAGCCAAAGAGGACACTACTTCCATGTGTACAATGATCTCTTTTGGGTTGTGGAAAGGGAGGCTCAGCCCAGGGTCACAGGGATCTGGCTCAGAAACACTGGGACCATTGTCTTCAGAGACAACAAAGGGGTTTGTTGAAAAAAAAAAAAAAAACCTAAGCTTTAATATGAAGCCAAGAATCTGTGCTTGTCATCTTGTGTTTGTTTGGCATCAAGTGTGGCAGTCATTTTCTGTCCTTGGTGCTGTTTACATTTAGAGCAAGGCATACAGCCATGAAATAGAGGACAGCTCCTAGAAAAACCAGAAGAAATCAGAAATAAAAGCAACAGCACCTCTGAAGTTTCTCCTCCGACATCCTGTGACTTGTCTAAATCTTCAGGCCCACAAGGTGTGTGAAATGGTAGCTTTGAGGGCTCCTTGACACAAGAGCCTGCTAACCCTTCTGGACAGTTCAGTCATGAGCAGACACACATTTGGATTTGCCTGGAGGGAGGGGACAGCATTCCCTTGCTATGGAATTAGATTTTCCTGTGTGCTCATGTTTTTGGTTGTGCAGGCATTTCTTGCACACACACACACGCACGCACACACATGCATGCACACACACACAATTGCATGAGCACACGTGGACATTGTAGAGCTTGTCTCCGCCATGGTAGTAGCTCCCTGGACCTTGGGGAGAGGAACTGCTGCAGTCACATCAGCGATGCACTAACAGCTTGATGACTAAGAGCTAGAGGGTGATGCTGTATACCCGCGAGCGGGCAAGGCTTAGTACGGAGCAGTGCGGCCTCACTGAAATACCCAGCACACTTGACTTCTTTAAAGATGATAAGGAAACCGGGCTGGTACACGCCTTTAATCCCATCACTTAGGAGGCTGAGGCAGGTGGATCAATGTGAGTTCGAGGCCAGTCTGGTCTGCAGAGGGAGTTCCTGGACAGCCAGAGGTACAGAGAAACCCTGTGTCAAAAAACGGAGCCTGAACCAGCCATCTCCTGTAACCAGACAAGGCTTCCAGTGGAGGGCATGAATACCAACCCAGACATAAATCCTTTGACCTACAATTTGTCCTGTCTGCAAGATGTGCTGGGGTAAAGATGGAGCAGAAATTGTGGGAATTACCAAACAATGACTGACCCAGCTTGAGAACCATCCCATGAGAGGGAGCTCAGCCCTGAGGGCCAGGACCTAGAAGCAGGATACCCTAGGGACCTAGGATAGAACCAAACATGACTGACAAAAAAAAAAAAAAAGACAAAAAGTCAATGAAATGATTCCTAATTATATTTGTCTAGCTCTGCTATCATCACAGAGACTTTATCCAGCAACTGATGGAGTCAGATGCAGACCCACAGTTGAACATTAGGCGGAGCTCAGGGGATCCTGTGCAAGAAGAGCAGGAAGGATTATAGGAGTGAGATGGGTCAAGCACACCTCAAGAAAACCTACCAGAACCAACTAACCTGGGTTCATTGGGGCTCACAGAGACTGAACCCACAACCAGCGAGCCTGCATGGGGTTGACCTAGACCCTCTGCATATATATTACAGTTGTGTAACTTGGTCTTCGTGTGAAACTCCTAACCGTGAGAGCAGAGACTGTCTCTGGCTCTGTTGCTTGCTTTTGGAACTTGTTCTTCTTACTGGATTGCCTTGTTCAGCCTTAACAGAAAAGGCAGTGCCTAGTCTCACTGCAACTTCATATCATGGCTGACTGAGATCCATGGGAGACCTGCCCTTTTCTGAAGAGAAACAGAAGAGGAGTGGGTGGGGATGGGGAATGGGGGAAGGGAGTGAGAGGAGAGGAAGGAGGGGGAACTTTGGTTGGAATGTAAAAACAAGCAAGCAAGCAAACAAACAAGATGGCAGGGAAATTGATCACAGCACATCCCTGAATATAAAACTTAACTGAGAGTTGTTGGAACAGAATGGTATTCTAGAACTCTACAAAATTCTTCTCATTTGCACGGGAAATTACTGCACGACTGTATTTCTGTTCCACTTCATTTGCTTACCTGATCATCATAAGTAAATAACTTAAACTTCTGTATTCTCAGTGGGAGTTTTGTTGAAATTAAGTGGTTGGCCTAGTGTCAAAACAGTGTTACATTGGTCCTGATGCCAGGCTGTTTTCGTGGTGTCTTCTGAATTTGTGAAATGTCACACAGATAAACTTAATGATTTCTCAGGTGCAATACAATGAAGTAATTGCACAGTACACTTTTAAAAAATTTTTTTTATTGAAAAAAAAAATTCCGCTTCCTCCCAGCCTCTCATTTCCCTCCTCCTCCCTCCAATCCTCTCCCCCTCCCTCTCCAGTCCAAAGAGCTGTCAGGGTTCCCTTTTGTTTCCTAATGCTGCCCACTGGATACCTTGGAAAACAATCAAATTTTTATTTATTAAAATCAATTTTAGATATTTTCTCCCATGTATGGTAAGCCGTACTGACCAATTTTCTATCTCCCATCCCTAGCACCTCTGTTTCTCCTTCATGCAAATCTCTCTTTCACATTCCTGTCTATTGCTTTTGTTTTGTGACCCTCAGAGACTAACCAAGGCCATCTGTGTGACCTTGGGTTTGGAGTTGTCCCTTGGAGCCTACAGAGATCAGCAGTGATGGCACAAATAAAGACAGAACCTCTTCCTTTCCCAGAATTTATTAACAGCCAATAGTTCATAGATAAAGATAGGGCCCTGTGAGCCCCTACCTCTCCTTTGACTGACTGTTGGCGGAGCCTGTTGTCTGGACCCAGCATAGGCAATAACACTTAAGTTCACAATTGCAATGAACATATCAAGTCTAGGGAATTCTTTTTGTTGTTGTTGTTGTTGCTATTTATTTATTTATTAAAGATTTCTGTCTCTTCCCCACCGCTGTCTCCCATTTCCCTCCCCCTCCCCCAATCAAGTACCCCTCCCTCGTCAGCCCAAAGAGAAATCAGGGTTCCGTGCCCTGTGGGAAGTCCAAGGACCACCCACCTCCATCCAGGTAAGTCTAGGGAATTCTTATGAACATAAGCAATGACATGCAGTTTATGCATTTTTTATTGTTTTTGTGGCCACTAGATGCTATTTTTCTCTTGATTTCAACAAGCCTCCCTTTAATTCTGTGTTGTTAGCTCGAAGCAAAGTCTCTCTCATCCATCAAATCTTAACTTTGAAGGAGTTATGTTCTCTACAGCCATTGTTTTATAGCTTACAATTAAACCCAAGTACTGTGCCCTTCCATCAATATTAAAACTAGATTGTTGTCTTAGTCAGATATTGGTTGTTGGATTCCCTACCCTAAGTATTTTACATAAAACCTTTTGCCGACCAAATATTTGAAAACCCAGTAAAAGCTGAGTATGAGTAGAAGGCCACTAAAGGATCTTGTGAAATTCCGATTAGCCAACTGGATGGGTAAAGTACAATGATCTTATGGAAAATACGGAGGGTGTTGGTCCTTAAAGAAAGAGCTTAATGGCACCTTCAACTCAAAGGAATCGGTTAACTCAGTAAATATTTGTTGACGGCATGACTAGGAGTGTTGGGTTTTTTTTTTTTTTTTTTGGAGCTGCACCTTATTTTTCTAGAGATTTTTTATAAATGGACATATTGCAAATGTTGAATATACATATTTAAGGTACAGATTTATGAGAACTTCCTGTTTCCAATCTCTTGTTTATTCTCCAGGAAGAATGTACAGTAACCCCTTTCAAACTCTGCCCTGCACGCCTCTCAACACGGGTTCCCTGAGCAAGAAAGGCCAGGGCAAGAAGGAAGCAGATTGCCATCTCCGGGCCTAGCAGACTGACCGCGTGCACACACGCTGCCAGCATTCCTTTGGAAACAGATGTTCCTACAGAGGAATGGTTGACATGTCTCCTCTTACATTTGTTCAGTAAATGTTAATTGTGAAAAGTATGAGTTTTAAGTTGGGCTAGGAATAAGTTGTTGGGGATATGCTCTTTTGAGGGTGAATAAAACAATTATTGTAAAACCTATTTTTCTTTTTCTACCAGTATTTCTCACTTAACCAATTAGGCTTTCACAGAGAGAAATTGACTGTATCTTCCCCTACACAGAGGTGTCTAGGTCATTGTGCGAGGGAATAACTTGTAAATATTAGCAGCATTTTCTTTTCTTTTAAGCATCTACTGATGTGCTTATTTATTTATGTGTGTTCATGCACAAGCATCTGTACATGATGATGCAAGTGTGCAAGCCAGAGGGAGGAATTGTGGGATTGAACTCAGGTCGTCAGGTCTGACAGTATGACCTGAATCATGGAGACATCTTGCTGGTCTGACTAGCAGTTTTATCTAACAACTAAATATGAACTTTGCTCCTCATAATTTAAAAATTTTTTCTTCCTATCAAAAAATATGTGACTAATAACACAAAATTTCAAAGGGGGCAATCCCACTGATGATTTGCTGAAAATAAGGACTCATCACAGCACCGTGATACAATAGCCTTTAACCACTTTCAGGAGCGTGGCCATTTGTGCAACAGGAAGATAATGTGGCTGACATGAGAGCAGCAAAGATTTGGTGTGTGTGTGTGTGTGTGTGTGTGTGTGTGTGTGTGTGTGCACGCACATTCGAAGACGATCTGGATATGGAACATAAACCTAGTAAATGCTGTGAGACTTGTTTGTTCCTGCTTAACACTTCAGATAAAATAAGTCTGTGTTGGCAATTGCTACTGTGTTGAAGTCATTTTCAGATGAGCTTTTGATACAGGTGCCTCAGTTATGAACACTCAGACGTGAGCCATTGCCATCTTTGGTGCCTCTTCCTCAGGAAGTCTCAGTGACATCAGTCTTAAGTACTCTGTATTGTGTTCTAGTTTTCTGACTGGCCATAATTTGCTTGGTTTTGACTCTGGCATTCTATAATCTCATTCAAACATCACTATATAGAAGCAACTGTTACAGTGATATGAAGATGGTTTCTTCACTGCTTCATGGTGTATGTGAGTCTTTACGGTGATCGTTCTCCTTTGATTCCACTAATGGAGATTCCCTACAGATCCCATTACACGTTCGCACTCAGAGCCTGTTGTGATATGAAATGTCTCCCACAGGGTTGTGTTCCGAATGCTGGTGGAAGCCTTGGGAACTTAGGAGGCGGGGACTAGCTGAAGGAAGTAGGCCACTGGTGTCAGATGTTGGTGGTTATGTATTTGTTCTCTCTCTCTCTCTCTCTCTCTCTCTCTCTCTCTCTCTCTCTCTCTCTCTCTCTCTCTCCTTCCTAGTCTGCCATAATGAATCCTCCACTCCACATTCTCACCACCATGACCTACTTCTCCACACCTGCCCATGATGGACTAAACCCTGGGAAACTATGAGCCACATCAGATCTCCCTTCCCTTAAATTAGAAGTGCTATTTTGTCACAGAAATGAGAAAAAATAACTAACAGAGCTCAAACTCTTTCTTTCCAGATTGTTCCACTGCCCAAGAGGGCACTTAACAAAGTAGTGGTTGAAGCAATGACAGAAACCAGACTGGATCCCGAGGCTCTCCCCATCTGAATGTGTGCCTAGGGCCCTGGCTTCCACTCTTGATGGAGTGGGAATTGCCTTCCTTTCAAAGTTAACAGGAGCACCAGCTAATAGCCTGGGCAACATTTCAGGGGGCATCAAGAACATACTGATTCTCATGGCCAATCCCTGGAATTTTTTTTTGAAAAAGCACAATATTAGTTATTCCCAAAATTCATTTTAACTTTAACCTGCTTTGTGAATAGCTCTGACCCACGGCTGTTTCACTCCAGAAACCCCGAGGGAATCCACAGGACGTGAGAGTAGAGTCTTGATTAGAAAAGAAGAAAAGATTAATTCATGGTAGAAAAAACAAAGATTAAGCCATGATAAACATTGTCCTTAAAATGTCCTGCTCTAAATTGATCTTTTATGCTTAAAATTCTAGATTACATTAATTTATTTATGTGTATGACACTCACTCTCTGTGTATTTACTGGCTCTCCACATATACAGGGGTCATAGGACAACTTTTCTCTTCCTCCATGATGGTCCTGGTGATCAAGCTCAGGTCATGAAGCTTGGTAGCGTGCACGTTGATCCGCTGAACTGTCTCAGTGGCCCTGGTCATACTTGCTTTATCGTGCAGAATTTAATGGAGACTTTTTCCTTGCCTCAGGATTGCCTCATCCTTACTTGCTTTTTGGGCAGACCAAAATCATTCTGTTATCTTGGGAACTAAGGAGTTTTTCAGGACTTGGGGTTTTCAATACTAAAATAGGGTCAGACTCAAGCTATTGATCTGCATTTCGATAAAAAATATGCTGGCTTGGCATCAAAAAATAAACCAGTGTCTCTCCCTCATATGACCGAGTTTTGGAGCATGGAGTCACCTAGGCAATCTTGCACGTCTAGTGTGCAGACAGTCTGGACAGGGTCGTCTATCCTGAACACACGAGGAATCCTGGCCGTGGCTCCTGCTGTCAGACAGAGAAGGACGAGAAATGCTGCACCATTTTATTTTCCTCTGTCCTTACCACTCAGTGCCTGTGTCAGGATCGGGGTTAGTGTTCCAAATTGAGGAACAGACCCTGCTCATAGGACTAGGAAGCGAACAAGCATGGTCAGCAAGTCTCTCTCTCTTCTGTCGGCCATGGCAAAGCTATTGTCCTCCAGGAAATAGTTCCACGCGGTTTATTCTCGAGACACCTGTTTTCACATTGCACTAAGTGGCCTTATGTAGGATTTGTGTCTTTTCAGGAAAAATGACAGGCGGCTGTTCCTCACACTTGTCAGTGTTGACGTGGGCCTTTACAACACGCATTTCTAGGAAGTTCGTGACCTACGAGACGGCTGTCCTTGTAGTTGAAAAGCTATGGCCTTGTGCAGGAGAGTGAGAACTGGGAAGAAAAGATGGAAGGAACACGTGGTGTGTTTTTATTGGGCAACACAGTGACAATGCTTGTAAACCTTTCCTCTCCCTCCTCCCCCACTCAGGTTTAAAAATCTGCATTCTCAGCAGCAGGTTGCTCACTTTAATATTTGCTGACTCGGCTAAAGCGCTTGTTTAACAGATTTTTTTTTGTGACAGAGTTTTCCTGTAGGTTTTTTTTTTTTTTTTTTTTTGACATGGGGTTTCTCTGTGTAGCTTTGTCTATCCTGGAACTTGCTCTGTAGACCTCAAACTCACAGAGATCTGCCTGCCATGTGCTGGGATTAAAGGCATGCATCGCCACTGCCTGACTTCTATAACAGATTTTAAATATTGCAATGTTTAACTTCTAGCCATGCATTACATTTTTATTTGGATTGCTGGTTTTTGGAGGTAGGGGTTCCTTAAAGTTCCCTAGGCTGGCTTTGAACTTGGGATCCTCCTGCCTCAACTTGAGTTCCTGGATAGCAGATATTCAATACTATGCCTAATCTTTTAATAAGATTGAATATATATTTTTTTAAAATTTGCACATAAGCTAATTTATCTTTGTGTGAATTTTCTGTAAATAAAACTTTCGCCCCAATTTTGTGGGAGAGGATTGGAAAGTACATTAAAAAGAAAAAAAAAAAAGAAGGAAGAACTGATTGTGTGTGCTGGGCTTCTAACACGTTAACATGTTCAGGTATTTGCTGTGTGCTTTACATGTATTAGTTCCTTTAATTGGTCTTCACAGCAATCAATAGGTGTCATCAAGCAGACACATATTACCATAAAGGACAAAACCGTATTTAAAATTTTATTTATATGTGTGCAGAGAGCAAGAGTTTTGTAATTTTATCCATGGTTTCTGATGTGGGAGTGTCATATATCAATCTGTTGATTTCATTGGTTAAGTTATAATAAACCAGCTGCTTGGCCTCATGGCTTGGAACATAGATGGGAGGAGTAAACAGAATAGAATTCTGGGCGGAAGAGGAAGTGAGGTCAGACTCTGCTCTGCTTCCGGAGAGAGACCCGACAGCTCTGCTGGAGCAGAGACGCCATGCTCAGCTCTCCCAGGCAGCTGCAACCCACGATGGACTTAGGCTAGAATCTTCCCGGTAAGCGCACCTTGGGTGCTTACACACATCATTAGAAATGGGCTACTCCAGGTGCGAGAATTAGCCTGTAAGGGCTAGAGTTCATGGGCCAAGCAGTTCTTAAATGAATACAGTTTGTGTGTTGTTATTTCGGGCATGAGCTAGCCAAGTGGCTGGGGTGTTGGGGACGCAGCCCCGCCGCTCATATTTCAACAGGTTTCTCTGAGAAGAGTGGAGGTAAATGGGTCCCTGAAAGTAAGAAAAGAAGAAAAAGTAAAAAAAGAAAGTAAGAAAAAGCGGACACCTCCTCTCCCTCCCTGCACCTGTGGGGGGAGCTGACACCTCCTCCCCCTCCCTGCACCTGTGGGGGAGCTGACACCTCCTCCCCCTCCCTGCACCTGTGGGGGAGCTGACACCTCCTCCCCCTCCCTGCACCTGTGGGGGGAGCTGACGCCTCCACCCCCTCACTGTATCTGTGGAGGAGCTAACATCTCCACATCCCCTCACTGGATCTGTGGGGGAGCTAACATCTCCACACCCCCTCACTGGATCTGTGGGGGAGCTAACATCTCCACACCCCCTCACTGGATCTGTGGGGGAGCTAACATCTCCAAACCCCCTCACTGGATCTGTGGGGGAGCTAACATCTCCACATCCCCTCACTGGATCTGTGGGGGAGCATTTTCTGCTATGAATTGGTTGTTAAAAGTTGATCAGTGTGGAAATGCTCAGAGTTGTCTTTGTAGATTGATATTCCCACATGTGAAGGCAACATGGAGCCGGTGTGGGGGAGGTGGGGGTAGAGATGGGGGGCGTGGTCTACCCTGTGAATTTATCATATAGCACCACATTTTCTCTAAGGCCCTCAGCAAGAAAACAGTATAAACTGTCACCTGTTGTTCAAGGTTTCACAGGCCATGTGGAGATCGGAAAG